AGCTTTGGCCCTGAGGCTGGTGAGCGGAGGGGACCGGTGTCAGGGCCGCGTGGAGGTCCTGTACCGAGGCTCCTGGGGCACCGTGTGTGACGACGACTGGGACACCAATGACGCCAACGTGGTGTGCAGGCAGCTGGGCTGTGGCTGGGCCACTTCGGCCCCTGGCAGTGCCCGTTTTGGTCAAGGCTCAGGGCCAATTGTCCTAGACAACCTGCGCTGCTCTGGCCATGAGTCGTACCTGTGGAGCTGCCCTCACAATGGCTGGAACTCGCACAACTGTGGCCACTCAGAAGATGCTGGTGTCATCTGCTCAGGTGGGGATGAAATATACCCATCTCTCTCTCTGAGATGGTCTTTGAGGGGAAGAAACACACTATCCACAAAAGGCCCACATCCAACACTCTCTGAGATATTCCGTGCCTCCCAAGCTTTCTAGAGGCAGCAGGCAACTGAAGTACAATGGAAAAGAAAGTGTAGGGTCAGCGGTCCTCACCTGTTTGGCCATCAACAGAGAAGGGTCAACATTACTTTGCCACAACATAGCACAGTGGGTGAAAGGACCATCCGCAGTTCAGTGGGCAGAAAAAAATGGGCCTCTTCCTTCCTACAGGATCATCTGCTCAGTCTACACCCCATTTCCCAGGGCCTTACATATCAAGGCGCACCTATTGGGAGTATGGTTGGAATATGAACCACCTTCTCACCTTCATGGTTATATTCCTCTGAGTCTTCCATGAAGCCGATTTGGAGATAAGGATTGCAGTGTACATTGTGAATTTGGGAGGGTCTTGAAGAGCAGTTGGGAAGTGGGGAAGGTACGGGGAATGGCAACTCACTACTACATGGAATGCTAAAGAAACATATAGGAATATGGCAATCGAGTTGACTCCCTATAGAAATGGAGTAAAACCATGTAAAGACTGGGAGCATTGCACCTGGGTTGGTGGAATTGGAGTCTTACTAGACCAACGGCCTGGATTCAGTCTTGCTGTCCTATTCAGAGGGAATGAAATGGCTTTGGTGTCCTGTCCAGGGCTTCGAAGGGACATTCCACCTCCTGGTATGTCAGTCCTCAGGCCCAGTAAAGCAGACAATGGCACCAGGACAAAGGGTGGGGCTCCCAGAGGACTGAGTGGTTCAGGGTGGGCCCTGGCTCCTTCCACCCGAGGGCATGTGGAAGCATGATCTCGGGAGGTATAGGCTGAATTTCTTGAAACTTTGGTCTATTGGGGGCACCTGTGTGCTCTGTGTCTGACTCGTGTTTCTTTCTCACAGCTGCTCTGTCTCAGTCCACGATCCAGCCAGGTGAGTCCTCGGCCACCCTACTCAGGCTTGTCTCTGCCCACCCATTCCCTCCCCATCCCCCACCCCCCCAGGCTGGTCAAGCCACTGCTCTCTGTCAATCCTGGGAGCACCTTAATTTTCCCCACTGTCAGTGAGATCCTGGAAGGTGGTTCTTGACTAGGCATGGGATTCACAAGAGTCTCATCTTCTCATCAGTCCACGAGGTTTCCTGCAGTTTGTGGAAACTGTCCCAAGAGGTGGCTGGCTGCCGTTTCAGAGAACTGGCCACTTGTGCCATGAATCTCAGCTGCAATACAATCCGGGCTGACAGGTTGAGTGGGAGAATGGACGCTGATGACCACCGACTTCCCACTGAAGAGCCACCAGGGCTAGCTGGTTCCTGTCCCTTACTCAGTGCTTGCAAAGGCCTCCGATTCTGTTGAGTCATATCTGCATCCAAGGGGGCCTGGACAGCATTTCCTGGGGATAGGAGTGCAATGGGTGATGGAGGTGCTCTAGGTGCTGGGATACCCAGTTGGCTCCTCCTTGACCCTCAATGCCCCTGACTTTTTTTTTCCAAGTTTCAGATATTGTAAACCCTCAGATCTACATGAGTCAAGAGGGACAGGAGGCAAAGGTTTTCTATGGGACAAAAGAACATGCCATGCTTAGAGATGTAGAGGGACCTGGCTGACCTCACAAGGCCTTTGTCCCAGAAATGCTAGGGAGCAGGGGACTTTGTACAGCACACCCAGGTGGAAGGTGGCAGGATGCAGTTGGGCAACTGTCACGGAGTCTGCCAAAAACAGGTTTCAAAAAATGCTTTCCATGATGTCTAACTCTGGTCTTTACCTTTATTGCCATATCCAGACCCCGACTGGATCACCAGCTCCGCAGCTTCAACAACAGAATTAGGTGAATATTTCAGTCCTCTCTCCTAGGATCATTCTCAGCTTCTAGATAACGTTTGGGTTTGGAAGGGACAGGAGCCATGTCAGGGTGTGTCTTTCCTTGTCCTTGTCCGTGTGTGTGTGTGTGTGTGTGTGTGTGTGTGTGTGTGTGTACTGCTTGCTGAGGGATAGAGAGAGAAGCCTCTGAAGAACAGATCCTGGGTCTGATCTTAGAGGGTGGCCTGCCGACTCCATGGGGATGCTGGGCTTATTTTCAGGAAGGATCCTCCCCCCAATGCTCAGAGTAAGCCTTGGAGACCTCTCAAGTGCAGCTGGGCCCATGCTTGTCCTGAGCCTCCCAAGCCATGGGGTAGAGCCCTGAGAAGAGGAGGGCCATGTGCTGGTCCTTCACCTTCCATGCCGAGGTGCACCATGTGCAGGGATTTGGGTAGAACCTAGTCAGGATGCCACAGAAGCCAATAAGTTGCCCATTAAGGTACAGGACTTGGCATATAGCAGTAGCTTTAGAGCTCCAGACTGGGTGTGCCCAGTGTGGACTAGGCCTGTCCAGCATGCCACCTCCCCCAAGGTCCTGGGGTGCTTCTTTCCACTGGAGCATGTTTAGCCTTGAGCCAATTGGGGTGTCTCTGTTCCTTACCTGTGATGAGGATTAACATCTGGTCATGCTGCAATGTCATTACCTGCCCAGGGGACTTAGGCCAGGAAGAAGCCCCTGGGTCTTCCCCATGTTTTAAGCTTATGAGCTTTAGATACAGATGGAGGAGGATTTCTGTTCTTTATCCCTCAGGGACTGAGTCAGGTTTGGCCCTGAGGCTGGTGAGCGGAGGGGACCGGTGTCAGGGCCGCGTGGAGGTCCTGTACCGCGGCTCCTGGGGCACCGTGTGTGACGACAGCTGGGACACCAATGACGCCAACGTGGTCTGCAGGCAGCTGGGCTGTGGCTGGGCCATGTCGGCCCCAGGAAATGCCCGGTTCGGTCAGGGCTCAGGGCCCATTGTGCTGGATGACGTGCGCTGCTCTGGGCATGAGTCCTACCTGTGGCGCTGCCCCCACAACGGCTGGAACTTGCACAACTGCAGGCACTCGGAGGATGCAGGCGTCATCTGCTCAGGTGAACCTCAGAAATCCCCGGGTCCCCCTGTCATGGTGATTGTGACTGAGAGCAAATACACTCTCCGCCCCAAGGTCCCCACCTGAGCCTCTCCCAGATATGCTGTGCCTTGCCAGCTTTCCTTGGGATAGCAGGCACCTGAAGGGCTACATCAGGGGAAGGGCAGGGGCAGGTGCCCTCCCTGCTGGACCAATATTGCTTTGGAGCCTCAATGGCATGGGGGTGAAAAGGACTGTCCACCGTTCAGTGGGCAGTCACAATGAGCCCCGTTTTCTCAGCGGGATCATCTGCTCAGACCACATGCCTCTTCCCAGGTCTTCCTTCTCAAAGCACACCTCTTGGGAATGTGGTTGGTAAATGAACCACCTTCCCTCCTTCTCGGTTTTGTTCTTCTGGGTCCTCGAAGAAGCCAACTCAGAGAACAGGTTGGCAGTCTACACGGTGAATTTGGAGGGCAGTGAGAAGCAGTTGGGAAGTGGGGTAAGGTGTAGGGAATGGCAGGTCGGTGGTACATGGAAAGCTCATGAGCCCAATGTGACTTTGGTGCCTGAGCCTGACCCCTTACACAAAGGCCAAGAAACCTTGTAAAGGCTGAGAGCATTGCACCTGGGCTGGTGGAATTGGGGTCTCTGTAGACTGACTGCCCTGACTCATTCTTGCTGTTCCCAGGAGCAGTGAACCCGGTGGCTTTGGTGGCCTTTTCTGGGCCTGGAGGGGTATTTTGCCTCCTGGAAAGTCAGCTGTCAGGCCCGGCAAGGCAGGCGCTGGCAGTGGGACATCGGGTGGGGCTCCCAGAGGACTGAGAGATTCATGGCGTGCTCTGGGTCTGTCTCCCGAGGGCACATGGACACATGAGCTCAGTTGGGATAGGCTGAGTTTCTTGAACCTTTGATCAGGTTGTGACCCCTGTTTCCTTAGTGTCTGACTTGTGTTTCTTTCTCACAGCTGCTCGGCCGCAGTCCACAGTCCAGCCAGGTGAGTCCTCAGCCACCCTATTTGGAATGTCTCTTGGTTCCTGTGCCATCCACCCATTTTCCACTAGGCTGGGTGAACAACTGCTCTGTGTATCAATCCTGTGGTCATTTTTTACCCCACTTGTCACTAAGTCAACCACAGGCTGTTCTTAACTATTCATGGGACTCCAAGTGTGCCTTGGTTTCATGAGTCCATGAGTTTTCATCTAGTATATTTAAAATGTCCCAAGAGATAGTGGCTTGCAGGTTAAGAGAACTAGCCATGGGTGCCATGACTTTCAGCTGGAATGCAATCCGGGCTGACAATTTGAATTGGAGGGCGGACGGTGATGAGGACTGACCTCGTATTGAAGGGCAATCCGAGTACGCTGGATCACTTCTCTTGCTCAGACTGTATTAAGCTGAGACTGCCTGATACAGTCTCAGATTCATCAGGGTCCAAAGTGTGTATCCAAAGTGGCAGAGACAGAGCCCAAGGTATCAGAGTGTAATGAGTTGTGGTGTATTCTGGGTGCCGGGATACTTGATTGGTTCCAGGTGGTCCCACCGTGCCCCTGACTCTTTCTGTCCAAGCTTCAGAGTGTGGCAGACCCCTCAGACATATATGTCTTGAGTAGGGATGTGGCAAAGTTTTCTAAGGGAGAGAGGACCTGCCAGGCTCAGAGATGGCTGTGGAGGGTCCAGGTTTCCTCCTGCAGGGACTTCATCCCAAGGGAAGTTACTGAGCACACGCAGTAGCTCAGTTGGGTAGCACACACAGATGGAAGATGGCAAAAAGCAGATGTGCAATTGCCACGATGCCCGCCAGAAACTCTTTTCAAAGACTGTTTTCCATGACGTCTAACTCTGTCCTTTGCCTCTGTTGCCTCTTCCAGGCACCTGGCCCACCTCATCCATACCCACAGGAATAACAACCGGTAATATTCCCATGCATCTTCCCTGGCTCATTTTCTCCTTCGGCGTAAAGTTTGGGATTGAAAGTGACAGGAGGAATCTCAGGGTGTTCCTTTACTTATCTTTGTCCCTTGTGTATGTGTGTGTGTGTGTGTGTGTGTGTAGGATGGGAGGTGGTGAAGGAGTCGCTAAATATACCAGATCTGAGGTCTGAACTTAGGGGATGGCCACCTGACTCCATTGGGATCCTGGGCTGATGTTCAGTGAAGATCTTCCTCCAGGTGCTCAGTGTAAACCCTGGAGGCCTCTCAAGTGCTGCTGAGACCTTGGTTGTGCCTCCCAGGCCACAGGGTACAGCCCCGGGAAGACAGGGGCAATGTGCTGGTACTGCACACCCTTCTTGCCGAGGTGCCATCATGTCCTGGGACTTTGCCAGAGCCCAGCCAGGACCCCACAGGAGCCAATAAGCTGCCCAATAGGGCAGTGGCCTTGGGCTACCCTTGGGCTGCCCTTGGTAGCTATGGGGCTCCATCCTCAGTGTGCCCAGTGTGGTGTGGGTTTGTCTTCCCCCTCTCCTCCATGGGTCATAGGGTGCCTCCATGCCTTGGAGCACCCTTAGGCCTGGGCTGAGGAGGATGTCTCTGCTCCTTTCCCTGTGATGGAGATGAACCTCTGGGCATGTTCAAAGGTGACCACCTGCCCAGGGGCCATTGGCCAGGAGGAAGCCCCTGAGTCTGGAACATGCCTTAAGCCTGTGACCTTGAGACAGACATGGACAGGAGGTCTTGTTCTTTGTCCTGCTAGGGAATGAAACAGGTTTGGCGCTGAGGCTGGTGAGCGGAGGGGACCGGTGTCAGGGCCGCGTGGAGGTCCTGTACCGAGGCTCCTGGGGCACCGTGTGTGACGACGGCTGGGACACCAATGACGCCAACGTGGTCTGCAGGCAGCTGGGCTGTGGCTGGGCCATGTCGGCCCCAGGAAATGCCCGGTTCGGTCAGGGCTCAGGGCCCATTGTGCTGGATGACGTGCGCTGCTCTGGGCATGAGTCCTACCTGTGGCGCTGCCCCCACAACGGCTGGAACTTGCACAACTGCAGGCACTCGGAGGATGCAGGCGTCATCTGCTCAGGTGAACCTCAAAATTTTGAGCCTCTATTTTTGTTTGTCATTTTCTCTGAAAAACCATTTTCTTTCACTCTTAACTCATCTTCCTGAGGTTTGTTGAAGGGCAGGCATTTTCCCTCATGGCTTGAGTGGAAAGTGCTCAGCAATCATATGATGTACTTGAATTTTATGGGAGGGCTGCAGTATCTTAAGAAGCCTATAGAGTAGTCATGTATTAATGGGCATAAATGTTGTGAGAATAAATTCCTGCAATAGTTTTTTTGTGTGGAATCCTGACCCTGAGGTTTACTTTTACACTTCGCATCCTCAGGACCCCTTCCAGAAAGTCTTTCTTAGTGATAGTGGGTGAGGCACTCAGCATTTCTGTGTCTCTGGATCCTGAGAGGCTTCTTTCTGCACATCCTTCACAGAGACTAATAATGTGTCCTCTCTTTTTGCAGCTGTACAAAGCATTCCTACTACCCCAGGTGAGTAGCCGCATCCCAGCCCAGCGTCAGTCCTCACTGGATTTCTACTCTTATGTTTCTAGAGTGAAGGAGAAGCCCAGGCTCTTCTCTTTGAGGACTCTGGTATTTGTTACTATGACCAGCTGAGTGCCCCAGACTTTGGCTCCTACTTAACTTAGCCTAAGAGTCCACCTGGATCCCCTGCCACTCTCTGCTGCCATGGTTTGCTCAGAGAACCTGTAGTGGAAGGATTTTTGTTCCCCTCTGGTCATTTCAGATGAATCTAACTGTTCAAGTCAGAATTATGATCATTTGAGAAATACAACCAAATAAAACTCCTACCAATGCTTGTCTGTTCAAGAATTCCTTCCCGTTGAGAGAGCAATCCCCAAGGTTTTCTTTACCCTACAGTGAAAATATTTAGTGCCAAGTATGTTGGGAAGTGTTAGCTCCATACTCTGGCCCATCTGGGCCATTCGCAGTGCATATTGGAATTGTCCAGGCTCTGAGAAGTCCTCCAGCCAGGGATAGAATCATCTACAGTAACATTTCCTTACCAAACTAATGACCATGGAATGAAACCTTTTCCAATAAAATCCTAAAATCACTTCATTTTCCTTCCAGATTGGTGGCGCCCATCAACTATAACTCCTAATAGTAAGTATCACGGTTTTCCACCTGAGGGCTTGGGATTCTCATCCCCAAGCAGACTGTCCATGGAGTACATATCTGTAAATGTACAGCCCAGGTCAACCTGTGCATACAACCTACCCAGACCTGCCCCACCCTACACTGCTCCAAAGCTGCCCACACACAGCCTGCCTCTACTTTCCACTCAGCCTTTTTATCCCCCCTGCCAGGTGGATGGCTTTTGTTTTAATAAGGAGACCCACTTCCCCTTCTTTTAAGGAAATGAAATAAGTTGTTCTTCAAAGAATAGATTTAAAGGCTTTTATTTCTTGGGGTATCTCCAAAGCTTTGAGAGAAGGAAGGGAGACAATAAATGGATAATTTCACAAGTAATCAATCCCTCACAAGTAAATTTTACCTCGTGGCTATTGCTCAATAGCTTCCCATCACTCCTAAGAAATGATATGGCCACTTGTTTATGTCACTGAATATTTTCTTGCCATCATATCAAATGCCTACATTGTATTTCATTACACAGCTATGACCACAAATTAGTTTACTAGTCCCCTTGAACGTTTATGTTGTCTATATTTCCTCATTGTTATGAATGATCCTCTGATGTAGAATATTTTTATAAGTCTTTGCATATCTCCCCAATTTTTCCTGGAGGAAAGAAAGAAATTTACTGGACTAAAGTTAACATAGTGCTTGGTACATAGAATGAACTTAATAAATGCTAACTCTTCTTATGCTAAGTATTTTAAGGTCTTTGCTGTACATATGGCCTAATGGCCATCAAGAAGGTTGTAAAATTTCAGAATGTTGAAAAAGAGAAAACAATCTCCTCCCTCAGGTAGCTCACAGTAGTAAATATTTACTACTGAATTTATGATGTAATTACAGGTGTGACAGACGCTTCAGAGGGGAAGGTCGGTGTGCAAAGAGGGCATATTCACAGAGATTTTACTTGATCAAGGGATTAGGGGAAGTTCTTCACGAAGTGCTGCTGATGCAGAGGTACACAAGAGAAGCAGGCTCACTTGCTGACATGCCTTCCAGACAGAAGGAACACTTTGTAGGCCTGGGTGGGAAGGAGCTTGGCTGTTGCCAGATCATTTGGAGCTTTGTGCACAGGTTAGAACTCCTGACTTTATCCTAAGGACAGCTGGAGCTGTTGACAAGTTTTAAGCTGGAGAATTGCAAAATCAGAAGTCTGTTTGCAAAAGATCATCCTTGACTTTTATGCCAAACTGTGCACTTCCTGAGGGCAGAGACCATATCTGCCTTTTGCCCTCTTGCATCCTTATTTCTAGCATTGTATCTGGCATGACATAAATGTTTTCTAGAAAGAATAAATGAATACATGAATGAATGGGTGGATATTTAATCATAATTGGCATTTTGATACATACGCCAACATGCACACATACACAAATGACGCCAGGCTTTCTGCCCTATTTTATAATGTTCGTTTTCATATGAGTATAGAATACTTATTGTTATGTCCTTAGCATTTTTAAGGTATTGAAATTATTTTCACACCATAAAGTTTATTGGGCACACAGTTTTTCATTCTATAGATATATTATGATTTAATTAAACCATTACTAATCACAGGACAAAAGAATTAATTCTTTCTAAGTCTATTTTATGTACTTAGGTAATCACATACAGTAACACTTTTATTTTATTTTATAATTGTCTCTATTATATTTTTAGAAATCTGTAATGCATACCATTTTCTCTGAAACTTTGGCTTTATCTTTGATTACTTCCCAGTGTAGATATAGAACTTATGGGTAGGCATATTTTAAAGGCTAAATTATCTTTAAGAAGCACCATTTTTCCACAGAAACAGAGGAAATATTTGCAAATCATACATCTGATAAGAGATTTGCATCTAGAATACATAAAGAACTTTTTACAAGTGAATAATAAAAATTCCAATAACCCAATGAAAGAATGAGCGCAGGATCTGCATAGATATTTCCCCACGGAAGATATACAAGTGGTCAATAAGCACATGCAAATACGGCCACTTGTTTATGTCATTGAATATTTTCAATGCAAATATGTCTAACATCACTAGCCATCAGGGAAATGCAAAGCAAATCTACAAAGAGATACTATTTCACACCTAGTAGTTCGGCTAGAATAAGAAAGTCAGATAATAGCAAGTGTTGGTGAGGATGTGGAGAAGTCATAGCCCTCACACCCTGCTGATGGGAATATAAAATGGTACATCCACTGAGAAACAGTTTCGTGGCTCCTCAAAAAGTTAAACATAGAGTTACCATATGACCCAGCAATTATAGTCCTGGGCATATACTCAGGAGAAAGGAAAGCACGTGTCCACATAGAAACTTACATATGAATGTTCACAGGTGGGCAGCTTTGTTCCTAATAACCCCAAAGTGGAAACCACCTGAATGTTCATCATGGTGAATGGATATACAAAATATGGTCCATCCATACAGCAGAATATTACTTGGCAATAGAAGGAAGTGAAGTCCTGGTGCTTGTTCATATACGCTACAACAGGGGCATACTTTGAAAACATGATGCTAAGCAAAAGAAGCCAGTCACAAAAGACCACATATTGTAAGACTCTATGGATGTGAAATGTCCAGAATAGACAAATCTGTAGAGATATAAAGTAGATTAGCGGTTGCCTTGGGCTGGGGGCAAATGAAGAGTGACTACTGTTGGGGACAGGGCTTCTCTCTGGAGTGACAAAATCTTTTCGAATTGACTGCAGTGATGGTTGCAGCACTCTGAATATACTAAAAACCATGAAGCACTGGGTGTTATATGAAAACAATGAATCATGGATCACTACATCAAAAACTGATGATGTGTGGTGACTAACGTAATAAAATAAAATTAAAAAAAAATACTAAAAACTATTGAATTGTACACTGTAGCAAAAATAAACAAAAAGAGCTATGAATAAGGAAAGAGCCAGTTTCAATTTTTATCACCACTGAGTATCTAGATATTTTTTAATGGTCTATTAAACAGACCAACAAGAGTTTGAATGCTTAATATTATTTATCATTCTGTGATAAATGATATCAGCTGATACTGTTGAGTATTACTTACTTTGTGCCAGGCCCTGCTGTCAGGGTTCACGTGTATTATCTCATTTAATTCACCCAGGAATCTGATGAGGCAGACTTTATTAGCACTCCCATTTTTCAGATGAGGAAACTGAGGCAGAGAGTTTCAGTAACTTACTCGAGATCATGGATCTGATAAAGGCAGAGACAAGATGCAAGCCTAGGCCTTCTGTGGCAGAAACCATGCTGTCGACCCCACATTCCACTGCTTCTTGTCAACTGGCCAGAAACCCTAGGGAATAAGTTATATTGCAGAGTGCTCTCCATGGGCCAGCACTCCCGCTCGGCCAAGATGATCCCTGCGCTCCACTGAACAATGACAATAATAACTTTGTTGCTTTCTTGGCGTTTTTGTGACAAGGTGACTCATGCTCTCTCCGAAGCTTGGGTCATCTCTTGGCAGAGAGTCACTTTTCTAGGCCCCATGAGGGAGGCAGATCCTCAGATCAAGGCCCCTAATGTGGGGCAGCCCAGGACCAGGCCCGAGAGAGGAAAAACCGAGTCATGGTGTAAGGTCGGGGGATGAGGCCCAAGGACTCTTACCCAGAAGACAATTGCTTGTTATAACACACTTGAAACCTGCCATGTTGGCGTGTCCCTCTGTCTCCTCTATAGGACCCTCTTTAGATTGTGGCGGCTTCTTATTCAATGCCAGTGGGGCATTTTCTAGCCCATCCTACCCTGGATACTACCCCAACAATGCCAAGTGTGTCTGGGAAATAGAAGTGAACCCCGGCTACCGCATCAATCTGGGCTTCAGTCATCTGCAGTAAGTAACACTCAGATCACCTGGTGAAGGATGGGCCTCCATGGTCTGCGCTGTGTGCTGGGCTGAGATGCTTTTCACTCTCAGGTGCCACAGGCTAGACATTATGTTGCTCTGATCCTACCATGAAGCATCAGGCAACATAGGGAAGTCCTTTGATCTGATGGAAGAAGAACAAGAAGAAAATCTTAGGTTCAGTACCATGGCTCATGAAATTCCGAACTATCTGTAAAAGACAGGAGCAATAGAAATTTCAATGTTGACATGAGTGCATTTTTTCATACAGGCTGGAGACGCATAGAAATTGTAGTTTTGATTATGTTGAAATCTCTGATGGATCACTGAATAGCAGTAACTTGCTGGGGAAAATTTGTAATGACACCAGGCAAATATTCACATCTTCTTACAACCGAATGATTGTTCGATTTCGAAGTGATGTCAGTGTCCAAAACACCGGCTTTTCTGCTTGGTATAACTCCTTTCCTAGAGGTGCGTTCAAACTAAATATGACAGAACTGACTTTCGGGGCTCGGTGTGTTTAGGCGGACCCTGCTTCCATGCGTGTCATGGTTCCTATGTGAATGCAAAGAAGGACCTCAGCCATGTGTTGCCCTTCCTCCTTATCTCACAGCCGACTCTGGTAAACCAAGCCCGAGAGATGTGGGGAATCACGGACACACCTTGGCCTTGGGTTTGCCACTTCCTGGGAGACCTGGTGACTGACCTTGCTGAGCCAACGTGTCCCCATCTGGAGGGGGAGGGGGTCTGAGGTCTGTGGTGTCTTAAGCCCCTTCCAGCTGATCTTGGAGATGTCTGTACCCTGATCAGTCACCTGGGGACTTTAGGAGTGAGCAAGGCCCATGGGTTATTTGGCCTTTGAGATCTGTTGTGGCAATGACCCTCAGTTCTTATGCCATGTGTCTTTCAGACGCCGGCTTGAGATTAGTCAATTCAAACTTCTCCTATAATGCATGTGCCGGGCGTGTGGAAATTTACCACGGTGGCACGTGGGGGACGGTGTGTGACGATTCCTGGGGCATTCAGGATGCCCAGGTGGTCTGCAGACAGCTGGAGTGTGGATATGCAGTATCTGCCATGGGAAATGCCTATTTTGGGCCCGGCTCTGGCCCCATCACCCTGGACAATGTAGTGTGCTCAGGGACTGAATCTACTCTCTGGCAGTGCCGGAACCGTGGCTGGTTCTCCCATAACTGTGCCCACAGTGAAGATGCTGGAGTCATTTGCTCAGGTACCATGTGGTGTCATTCGTGGAAGGCCCCTTTCACCTCCGACCTGCTGCAGGGTGAAAGCTAAGGGCTGGTGGTTGATGGTGTTTGTGGCTCAGTTCCGGGGGTGGAGGTGGGACTGGAGCTTGGCAGCTGTGCCCTTGGTCTTCCCGCTCCAGGGGACCATGCAGGGGCCCCGTTGTCTCTGGTGGGTTATACTGGCCACAGGGCTAGTATGCATGTGTGTTCTCACCCTTCCATTCGCTCTGGGACCTTTAGCAATGAGGTCTCCTCTGTCAGCCTCAGTCTCCTCCTGTACGAAGAGGAGATGGTCATGGTGCACCTGCATCCAATGGCGATTAGAGACCTAAGTGGCTCATTCGTGTAAAACCTTAGAACAATTCCAGACAAGTAGGAAATGAGGAATAAGTGATGCTGTGACCTTGGTCGTGGCACTGATGACCCCCAAGTGACGATAAGGCTGGGGAACAGCGGGGGAGACCCACCCAAGGCCTCCCCCTAGTAACACAGGCCTTACGGCAGTAACTCCACAGGCCATGGGTGCACTCACAGAAGAGGTCAGACTGTGAGCCACATGGGTGTGCCCCTGCCTCATGCGGGCCCCTCTTCCCAGCACATTTCAGCAACTGATGCTTTTCTCCTATTCCTTTTCAGGAAGCCAGCCAACAACGCATGGTAAGTACCCGTCATTTCTACCCAGCTGCCTGGCTGGCCCTCTCTGCTGCTGGTGCAGGGCATGCTGCTCTCTCTCCCAGGAATTTCCCCTTATGTCTTCCCTGGCACTGGTATCCCCTGTAGCGGATGTCCCCACCCGAGGAGAGCTGGGCCTCTCTCTGGGCTCCTCTTCGACCATCAGTGGCCTGGCCAGCCTAAGATTCAGATCTCTGGTCAGTCTCTAGGAGAGGCCAGCCACCCGTGTAGGTTTTGCCTGTCCCCTCAGCCACCAGACCCTGGTCAGTGTAGGCCAGTGGGTCCTGCTTCATCACTGAGCTCCGTGTGTAACCACCAAAAGCTCCTGACTGCCCACTCCAGAACTGCTGCTGAACCTGCTCTAAGCATGCGCAGCACATTCCTGGCTCCTGAGATCTTTCCCCTCCATCCCCACCCTCTCCTCCTCACCACCGGCTTCCTGCAGCAGCAACCCCTCAGCCTTGACCCCATCCATTCTTCACACAGCAGCTGGGGGAGTCCTTACGAAATGCCAATGTCAATCCCAGCCTCCACACCTTCGCACCCTTCATGTGACTCCTCAGGACCATCTGGGTGTAGATTCCCATGTCTGGGGGCAGATCCACTTCCTTTGTCTGTTTCGTTTCCTCCCGCCACCCTCCTGCTCCATCCACACTGATGTTCCCTAAGTGTGCTAGTGACTGTCAGGCCTGGGTCCCCCTGCATGGAACCCCCCCTCTCTACTTTTTTGCCTGACCACTCACCCACCGCCCCGATTACCTGCCCCCCTTTCTCTGCTCAGTCTGGGTCAGGAGCCAACGCTCTGGGCTCCCACCACGTCCTGGGCTTACCCTGATCACAGCGGCATCCTGCCACGCTGGGATTTGCTCTTGCCCGTCCACCGCTCCAGGCCATGAGCTCTCTGAGGGCACACAACCAGCATCTCACTGTGAACCCAGGGTTGGCACCTTTCTGCACAGAACAAGTAAGCACCGAACATTTGTGCCAATGATACCAGGAAACTGATTGTTATCTTTTCTCTTGGTCAACAGCTCCTGTTCACAATGCCACTCGCCCAAACAGTAAGTTTGGGGCTCCCTGACAACCCCCCTTTCCCTTCCCCTCAATGACAGTGCCCCTGGATGGGGCAGCGGGGGTGGGGGTAGGGGGACAGTGACAAAAATGAGGAGATGGCTTCCCTAAGTACAGCCTCCCTGGACAGTCCAGGTCTACACCACCTCCTGCTGGCTTTCTGTCTAGGGGGTTGTTTAAAAATTTCCCCAGGTGACTGTGCAGCAGGCTCTGGGGGCCCTCCAGATTTCCATTTCTTCCCAACAGCAAATTATTCCTGCGGAGGCTTCCTGTCCCAGCCATCCGGGTACTTTTCCAGCCCATTCTATCCAGGGAACTATCCAAACAACGCCAGATGTGTGTGGGACATTGAAGTCCAAAGTAACTACCGTGTGACTGTTGTCTTCAGAGATGTCCAGTAAGTGCGTGGGTGCAGAACCGAACACATGGGGGCCTCACAGATATCCTAGAAGAGAATAAATGGCACCTAGCCCTTCAGGAGATACGTTAGCCCAATTGATATTTTCTCTTATGGGTTCAGTTTTTCACCTAGCCCAGAGGCAGCCCGTGGAGGTGGGGCCGGGACAAGAGCCCTGGTTTAAAGTCCCAGGTCTGTCACTCATTTGCTGTGTGCCCACAGGAAATCACTTAATTTTCCTGAACCTTGGTCAGAACAAGGAAATAAAATACCTGCTTTCCTCTCATCTCTGGCTACTGGGAAGATCACAAGAGAGAAAGAGCTGAAAATACTTGGAAAAGTTATCCAATGGGAAGGATGCCTGTTAGGAGTAAGAGTAACACACAGAATCCTATTAACCACAGCAGGCTTTTTTTTTTAACCCTTTTTTCTCCACTGCCGCCTTTTTTGGGGGGGTGAATTCTGGGGGGTCAAGAAGAGGTGGAGAGATCTCTGCTGCAGAGGCTCATTTATCTGTTCCTCATTCAGTGAAAATGCGGAATCACTGCTTTAAGCAGAGAACACAGCGTCAAAGCCGCGTTAATATATGATTGGTCCAAGGAGGGGCATGACCAAGCAGAGGTACGAGTATTTTCTGGTGTCCAGGAAAGAGGGTACCATCATTTCTTCTGTAAAACAGCCTTTCCTGAACACAATAGTCTTCTCTCTTGCTTTTTGGTTGCTGTGGCTTTGAGAATCTCTGCCTTGGAAATTCATTTGGAGTTTTGCAGAAGTTATAATATTATTTTAATCTCCTCACCATTACAATTCATTCTGGATCTCAGAGACTGTACTTAAAGCTCATGCGATCCTATGGAGGAAGGTCGACCACCTAACCTTCAGAGAGGTTATTTGACTTGTCCGATATTTACTAGTCCAGTTATTTATTTCTATCACTATGGATTCATGACTATTTATTTTGTTCAATGGGAAGCCAGGGTCTTTTTGATTGAAGAAGTGGTCTAAGGCAGGTTGTGATCCTCTCCTTTCATGATGCAAAGGAGTGTCAGGAGAGGGGCTGTCGATTTCATATGTGTGACCCCAAAAGTTAGGACGAAGTTTCGTGCGTGGCGATCACAGGGAAGTGAATATCATTCTATTAGTTTCAACTATTAATTTTGTCAGTATTTCTGCCACAAAGGTGTGACCCTCCCCACCCCCCCCAACTCACTGAGATCTGACCCCCTGCATCAAATCCTGGCTGAAAGTGACGCCAAAACTCTGTGTTTTATCCCTGCAGGCTTGAAGGTGGCTGCAACTATGACTATATTGAAGTGTTCGATGGCCCCTCCCACAGTTCCCCTCTGATTGCCCGTGTTTGTGATGGAGCCAAGAGCTCCCTCAGTTCCTCATCGAACTTCATGTCCATTCGCTTTGTTAGCGATGGCAGCATCACAAGGAGGGGCTTCCAGGCCAGCTACTACTCCAGCCCTTCTGAAGATAACACCAGTAAGTCCCCTCATGGGCGCTCGTTGTGGGGGACACCTCTGCTCCACTCTTCTGTGGTTGCGAAATAAGAAACTAGAGCAGCTTTGTCAGGTCACCAAGGCTTGATCTGGTGCTGAAAGGGGCCACGAGCAGTGGTCTTGGGACTCTGGCTGCCCAGAAATGAGATCAAGGGCCAGAACTGGCTGATGGGCCGTGCGGTGGTCTTACTGTGGTCAGCAGAGACTAAAAAGGAGATGTGAGGTCATACTTTCAGCACATGGTGAGATGTCAGTGCCAAGGACACAGGTGACCACCTGGCCCCTGGACTCTGTCCCAGGACAGCATATTTGGCTGCTATCTGAAGATGGACTGAACCAATCACTCAGCCACTTCCAGCTAATGGCCACGATTTCAGCTGTTAAATGGACTGATTTATAGATTGGCTTAGGGACTGGGTGAGGTGATGTCCAAGCTCTCTTTTGCAGTCAGGATTTTAAGCATTGACATATTCCATAGCTAAAGGACTTTATTTTATAACATCTCCACCATTCAACTGGAACATTACTTTACTTTATGGATAAATGGTAGGTTGGCAAAACATTTTACTCATTTCACATCCTGCCTCCATTTCCCCATCAGGGGAATCCTCAGTCCCTATGCCCTCAAAGGGGTCTTGTGAGAATAACACTGACCTGAGTCATGGGGCACCTGGGGGGTTGTGTGAGGGCTATCCAATGTGGGCCGTCTTTGTCCGCCATCTTGGTCTCTGTATCTTTATACGGGAGGAGCACCTAGTGGGCTTGCTGGGGTGCTGACTGCCTACATTGTTTGCCCTCGTCCACCAGAGCTGCTTTGTCTGCCAAACCACATGCAAGCCAGTGTGAGCAAGAGCTACCTCCAATCCCTGGGCTATTCTGCCAAGGACCTTGTCATTCCCAACTGGAATGAAAGCTCCCAGTGTCAGCCCCAAATAACGGCCAGCCAGGTGACGTTCACAATTCCATACTTGGGCTGTGGCACCATCAAGCAGGTAAGTTTAGGGCTTCCTACTCTATCTCCTGCTGAATAAGCTTTCTTTTTCTCTTTTATTTTAAAGATTTTTATTTATTTATTGAGAGGGAGAGAGAATGGTAGAGAGAGAGCATGAAAGGGAGGAAGGTCAGAGGGAGAAGCAGGCTCCCTGCTGAGCAGGGAGCCCGATGCAGGACTCGATCCTGGGTCTCCAGGATCATCACCTGAGCCGAAGGCAGTCACTTAACCAACTGAGCCACCCAGGCACCCTGAATAAGCTTTCTTATAGTGATGTATGCTGTGTTTCTTGAATTCTAGGGATTCAAGTGACATGATGATGGTATAACAGGTGTAATCAGGGTAAAGATTTAAATCTGTCCCTTAGTGCCATGATGTAGCAATAGCCATTTCCAAATGTAAGGATGAGGGAGGAAGGTCAGCAGGCCATTTTCCCCCACACTGTCATGCACAGAGGGTGCATGGCAGGCTGCCATTCCCATCAGCAATAATCGTAGCAGCTCCCAGGGGCAGCTCCAGATTTTGTAGGGCCTAAAGCTTATACAGTTTGGGGTTGGGGTTAGTGAGAGGGGTGGGTGCCTCATGAAGCAGAAGAATGCAAATGTATCTTACTTTTATAAATCTTACAGAAACATATGGCTGTGCCAATACACTGCTAGGCATTGGAGGAACCTGCATAGGGGAGGCCCTGAGGCTGAAGCTTTATTAACTTCACAGTAAATCAGCCTCTGCAGCTGAGCCGTCACCATCTACGGTGACCAGCTGTCTCGGTTTACCTGGGACTTTGCAGATGTCAGCATGGAAAAGTCCCATGTTCCACAAAACTCCTTAGTCCTGAGCAAAATGGATGGATGTTCATCCTCCCAGGGCCAAACACTAGGATTAGCAGGTGTTATACTCCCCAGATACCCATCAAGTATTCTCTCATTGTCACCCCACTTTAAAAATAGAGGGGGTGGGCTTCGAGGGGTCAAGCAGGTGTCCGAGGCCACTTGGCCAAGAAGTAGCAGGACAAACGTCAGACTCTGAAAATCTCCAAAACCTTACACTGAGTGAAAGAAGCCAGCCACACAAGAGTACCTACTCTGTGATTCCATTTCTATAAAATTCAGGAATGGGGAATAAATGTATGATGGAAAGCCGAACTGGTTGGCGGGGATTGCCTGCAAAGGGGCAGGAAGGAGCTGTTTTGGTTCTTGGAAATGTTCTGTATCTTATTGTGGTGGTGATTATTGTCAAACCTCACTGAATGGCATGCTTACAATGGTTGCATTTCATTTTATGTAAATGTGTTTGAAATCATCTGAATTCTGAATTTTGGGATGACGCCTAAGTAATCACTTCAAGATTTTCTGTTAGGGAAGAGACATGATGCAAATAATGTGGCTTAGGACCACAGTAAATACACAACATGAAATGCTTGAGTATGTACAATGTGCATGACCCACATGTTCAGAGGATGTCAATTTTTCATTCACCAAAGATGTACTAGGCATTTGCTGTGAGCCAGCCCTGGGCTAGGTGCTAAGATGACACTGTTAATTACCTGGCAAGGTAATTTCCTGATCCTTTGACACGTAAGAAACAGTGGCAGAGGAAGAGGGTAGTCATTTAGCCCAAACAGATTGGCCTATCAGCCACGGGTGGTTGCCTAGGCCTAAAGGGTCCATAATCGCCATTATGGCCACCTGGCTCCTTTCCTCAGTCCCTACAGATACCAAGTCTCCTTCTCAGATGAACTGAGTGAGTCAGGGAGACTTACATGAAGACAAGGGTACATATCAGTCATGCTATGCAAATATTCTAGTCAACCAGACTTCTATTTTGCCCTGTAATTTAGTTGTGTTGGATTCTGACTTGTCATGAGTTTAGTCAGTAGGAGTCAGTGCACCAAAGATGATTATCCCTCCTGGTTCCAAGTGTGCAGACTGGAGACTCTGATATCTGAGCCACCCCATCGATGTTCCTTCATGTCCATTAGAAGCCACCAAAGCAATGTGCCAACGCCGGTTCTTGTAAGGTGGCTGGTGGTGGCCAGCTTGCACTACACTCTCATACCTCCATTTATTTAAATACCTGCATCCCCTACCAGACTGAGTGCTCAGTGGTGCTGGTGTGGAGCCTAACCCTTTACAATCGGATTATAAACTGCTAATCTGTGTGCCAGCCACTGAAAGTTCTACATGACTTTCGAAATTCTCAGGGCAACTTTCATTCCCACGTAATCACAAGGAATTGGAGGCTTACAGAAGTTAAGCCATTTGCCCGAGACCACATGGTCATGATCTGCTGAGCCCGGATTCAAAGCCAGGACAGCATGATCTGCAGGCAGAGCCGACCACAGCTCCCCCAGGAGCCTTGCTGAGTGGGGTCTGATGAATGGTGGCTGGTGTGGCTGAGTAGGTGAGGTCTCCCTACCACATGAGAGGGATATCAAGGGGAAGAGTCCCAGTGTTCATGGGAATAGCAGTTGGCTTGTCTTCAAGACATCCCCTTACATCCTGAGTTCCTTCCGAACTGAGCGTACACCTAATAATGAATTTTAATCTAAAATCGGAACTGCTTCTTATGATCAAGAAATAAACTTGCATTCCATGTTCATTGCTTGGAGTGGATTCAGAATTTAGCTTGAGCATAGAAGCCATAGACGAATGTGAATTCCAAGAAAACTTTGATTTTAGTGTACAGAGTTGAACTGAAGGCACCTTAGCTTGTCTTTGAAGGAGTAACAGAGTCACATTTATATGGTTTCTTTTGACAACCACAAGCACTCACATATAAAGCCCATTATTTTTTTCTTTTCTTTTCTTTTCTTTTTTTTTTTTTAGAAAATATAGTGTATTTTCCTTGCATGAATGGAGGGCATAGGATAGATGAAGTCTCCCCACCCCACCAGAGGGATGCCTTCCCAGAGCTGGGTCCAGAGTGCGGGTTCTGGCACTCCCCTGCAGGCCTGGGGCTGCAGAGACCTCCCTGGTCGCCCAATGAAGAAAACGGGGTGGCAAAATCATTTTAAATTACTTGTTAAATTTTTCTCCCCATGTTTTTCTGGATGGGACAAATTCAGAGTTGAGTTATGCAACCACAAGCATGAAGTGAAAGCCTTTCCAACACACACCGTTCTGAAGAACAATGATATTTAAGGTGTACAAGTGCTGGACTGAGCAGAGAGCTTGTCTAATCTTCCAAATGGCCAAGAATAGAATTTGGTTCTTAACAGGGTGCATGACTACATGTGACTTGAAAAACCTCTTTTTTTTTTCTTAAGAGTAACCTAGCCTCACATTTTAGGACTTCTGTTTAGGCCACCATGGTGTTCTTTTTGGGCTCCTTCTTGCAAAAGTATCCATTGCTTATGGGAACTTGTACCTGGCTAGCAGAAAGAAGTTTGCTTCTGGCCTTCCTCATATCGGGAGGGAAAGAGTTACTCCCTTTCTCTGTGAGGCAATGACTGGCTTGTGCTTGCCTCATTTGAGGCCAGATGATCATGACCATGAAGCTTCCAGAAGGCCTGGTTCACCTGTGTCTCTCAGCCATCTGGGCCCCATTATAGTACTTTTGTGGGCCCTGCCCCCTGTACCTTTCATTCATTCCATGGTATCTACTGATGCTCCTGACAGTATTGTTGACACTGTACCAAGCCCTGATGACATCATCTTATCCTTGAGATGCTCACAGACCACTGGGTGCAAGGCTCTCTCCCTTGAAGGTCACTCTTAGGCACATCAAATGGCGTGAGAGACCAACATTCTGAGGAATTTGCTGCTTGCTAAAAGGCACATTAGGAACCTGTCCCATGGTATGGGGAGTGACAAAGCAGCGTGTGACAGGAAGTGCTCCAGCATTGCTCAGTCCACATGAGCCTCTGGGGGAGCCCCTACCCCAGTGGTCAGAGTCCCACTGCAGCTAAAACTCCACCCTCTGTCCCTTCAGCTCCTGGCAGCCTCAGACACTAAGCTGCTACTGAGCCATCCAAATAGCACAGTGAAAGCTAATCCCACCAGCCTCTCCCTCAAGTACATGGCCACCTCCCTTGGTTTCTCCCAGCCACAGCGAGAATGAAGCAAAGCAAGCATGAAAGGCCCTAAGCCATGGAGTCCGGACACAGCTTGGTCATTCAGCAGGGAAAGGGGTGATCCAGACACACCCATCTTCCCATGGGGAGCAGCTCCTAGGAGGCCCCAACACCTGGCCCACACTGCAGTCCCCATCACATGGTAGAGGAAGGGGTTGTGTGAAAGGAGTGAGTCCTGCTAGTTAAGCAGCATGCCCAGCCCAGATAATGAGAGCCATGGCAGCCATGTGCCTTCTCTGTGTGGTCCTGGGAGGGTTTTAAAGTCTGGCTGAGTCACTTCCCTCTCATTGTAAACAAATCAGCAGTGAGTTTCCCTTAACGGGTGATATTTGCTTGACTTTGCTCTCCTATCTTTGTCTCCCAGGTAGATAATGATACCATCATCTATTCCAATTTCCTCAGAGTAGCTGTTCCAAGTGCCATCATCAAGAGGAAGAAGGATCTCCACATTCACATCAGCTGCAAAATGCTCCAGAATACCTGGGTTAACACCGTATACATTGCTAATGACACCATCGAGGTCAATGAAGTGCAGTATGGCAATTTTGACGTGAACATTTCCTTTTATACATCTTCTTCATTTTTCTATCCGGTGACCAGCAGCCCGTACTATGTGGGCCTGAACCAGAACTTGTACCTTCAGGCTGAGATCATCCATTCTGACACCTCCTTGTCCTTGTTTGTGGATACCTGTGTGGCATCCCCATATTCCAATGACTTTACATCTCTGACTTACGATCTAATCCGGAGTGGGTAAGGAGTGTCTTCATGGGGTGAATGTCAAGCTTTACCTGACAATTCAAACATGAGTAGCCTAAAGTCTCAAGGACTTTGGTTCTAGTAGAGCGAACTTAACCAGTCAGGTTGTCATACCTGGTTAACATCTAGGGAAATGGATGTGCGGGGAAGTGAATGAACCACCAGTGGTCACCAAGCAGGTTAGCTATAACTGGGTTTTGACCCAGGTAATCGAACTCCATAAGAAGACATGCGTGTAGTGGGGAAAGCCTTGATTCTGCAGTAGATCGAGATTGAGATGCCAGTCTTGCATGTAGCACCCGCATCACTCTGGGCAAGCAATCGTATCCTCTGAGCCAGTCTCTTCCCCCATCAGATGAGAATAGTGCTGCCCACATCATAGACTGTTGGGAGGATGAAATGGGAAGGAATCCATGGGGCCCTGGGCAAAGAGCATGCACAGCAGGTGGTCCACAAGGAATGCTGTGGGTAGCAGGGGTCAGCAGGGGTCTCTTGACCTAGCAGCTGAGAATGGTGGTTCCAACCAAGCTCAAGAGATGCAGAGGTCAGGCCAGTGGTGCCAAGGCTAGGGTCAGTGGTGCCCAGATTGGGCTCCTCCTCTACAGTCCTGCTTCCCTGGATGACAGGACTCTGGTGAGGTCAAATTTGCCTCTTCGGAGCTCATCAAGGAGTCCTGGGATGCTGGGATGTACACTCCCATCCTTACTCCTTTGTCTCTGTCCATTGGTGTGTGCACCATTTCTTTGCTTATAATTTGACCTTGGCACCTCAGTAACAATCACATAGAAGTACAATACAGAAGTTGTACTGATAGGCTAAGGGGCTCTGCTAGGAATCAGGGCTGGGAAGTTAAATTTTACACCTCCCAGAGATACTAAAAACAGCACCTTTTTCCAGTTTGAATATGTGTCAATTCGGTAAACACGTGTTGAGGCTTGCCTTGTTCAGTCTATGCAGCTGGTTCAATTCACAACAACCCCCTTGGCAGCAAAGATGTGGGAGAGGCTTACCCAAATTCTCCTTCTACAAATAGTAACAAAGTGACATTTGAATTTATGTCAGATGATTGAGATTAACATAAATGAGTGATTTGGTTCTTTTTTGCTAAAATATTCTTTTTGGTCAAATTCTGGCATATATGTATATAAGATAATGCAATTTCCTCAGGAGGGGGTGGGCATGCACGTGGGGGTAGATGTGGACCCAACTGTACCTGGAGGGACACATTGGCTACACCTGAGGATCAGCCAGATCACCCAACTGGATGCCCATTAGAGGAATCTGGATCTTCAGACACACCCATCCCCGGCCCCACCTGCACATTCACTTTATCATGTCTGTGGTGGGGCTTGGGTATCTGTATTTTCAAAACTTCCCCTCCCTCCCCCCCCGCCCCGTGATTCTGAAGTGCAGCCTGGGTTAGGGAGCTCTGGCCCATACAGACCACCCTGAGGGGTATGGTTTTATGGGAAATGCAATTATTGCCCAGCAGCCCCGGGGTTACCCTGACCTCATTTACAACTGTCCTACTTCCTGATGAGGTTCTGTGTACTTTCTTTCTCATCTTTGTTGCTAAACTGACCTCTGTGGAAAAAATAATGTGGTATTTGAGAGAATGTGCACTGAAAGCGGAGGAAGGACCCTCTGGAAGGGGGAAAGAAGATACTGAGTGAACCCTGGGCCACATTTCCAGGCAGAATCAGGCTGCCTTAGTGACAGCTCCCATCTACCACAAAAATTTCCACCCTAAACCCCATGGACCAGTTTCTTTGCTCTCCTCTTTGCTACATCACCCCAAATCCTCTGGTTAAGGGGTGTTCCTGGGTTATGCAAGCTGCTTGCTCAACTGGGGGTAGAGCTGGGAGATGCTCCTCACCCATATCTTAATAAGGTTTCTTTGAGGGGATTCTTAAGTAATCTTCCCACTAACACCAGTGGAGATGAGGCGTCTGAGGGAATAAGGAGGCAGTTGATATTGGAGTGGGGGGTACTGGAGAGTACTTAGGCTCATGTGGAAAGTAAGCCATCCAGGGTTCAGGGCAAGTTGAGGTGGGTCAGGAGACAGCCCCAGAAATTTGGGAGGGGGTGGGGGTGGTAGCCACCAAAGACAACAGAGAGTAGCCCAGTGCCACCTTGCCTGGCCCTGAGACCAGGAAAGGAAAGGAAATGTCATCTTCCTTCATGCCGTCTCTCTGGGCCCTGCTGCTTCCGTCACTCCCCTGGGTTTCCAGGGCCATCCAGCGCGGGGTCACCGAGCACCCACTGTGCAATATGGGGCCTGCTTGTCTGTGTGGAAACCCTGCGCCGATTTGCTGCTTTAAGATGCTGCTGACATACCAGAGCTGCTGGGGTTCTCCTGGAGGCGATGTGTGAACCACACGTTCTGAGGGAAGGAACTTGCGGCCGGAGGCGTGGGCCTGGCCCATGCGCGTCATGAAGAAGGCAGCGCATCCATAGCTGACGGGCTGCTTTTCTCTTCTTCCAGGTGCGTGAAGGACAACACCTACCAATCTTACTCTCAGCCGTCGCCTCGCATCGCCCGCTTCAAATTCAGTTCCTTCTACTTCCTGAGGCGCTTCCCCTCCGTGTACCTGCAGTGTAAGATGGTGGTGTGCAGGGCTGACGACTACTTCTCCCGCTGCCGCAGAGGCTGCATCCCGAGGTCCAAGAGGGACGTGGGCTCCTACCAGGAGAAGGTGGACGTCGTCCTGGGACCCATTCAGCTGCAGGTCCCGCACACCGAGACGTGGAGCCCGGCTAAGTGGCGGACCTCCCGCCCCTAGATCCGTGACCTGCGGGGAGCCGGATTGTTTCTGTTGGTGTTGCACTCCACCCCAGAGTGGGCACCCACCACGTGCCAGGCCTGCTGTGCTCCACGGGGCGATACGGACTTAGCTAGATCACTTCTCGCCTTCTTCCATGGGCTCCTGGTCTATGGGGGACCACGTGTAGTGCTTGGTCAGGAGAGTTCTGATCTGCGACACAGACACAGCTGACACCTTTGTCGTCCGGGTTCTGAACTCCCCGAACCTCACACTCACTGACTGTGAAACAAAAATGTTAATACCTACCAGTTAGGACTGTTGAGGGGGTGCAATAAAATAATGTTAGTTAAACTGCCTTGAGGTCTGCCTGGTTCAAGTTCTTGGGTGCGAAAAATGGCGGGTCTTGTTAACTATTATTGCTGTCACCAATATCAACAACATGACGTTAACGATAACATGACTGCTCATGACGGTAATAACAAGAGACCCCTGTGTCCCCAGGCAGGGCTGTGGGGAGGCAGGCAGGATTGGTTTATTCCAGTGACTCATAAGGCTGACATTTTGGTGGTCAGCCATTCTGTCTCCTCATCTAGAACAGGGCTCCAATTTCATGCTCTGCTGTTTTCTTGTGGGTGTGGACAAGGAAAGGATGCAGAGGGATTGCCAGGGTCTCCGGTCCAGGCTGAGGACAGGTCAGCAGATGTGGTGGTCCCGGTGGCAGGGAGAGGTGTGGGGTAGCAGCAGTTGTCACAAACCCTTCTCCTGGTTACTGGGTTCCACCCCATGGGGCATCCTTGGCGGCTCTGTCTCCTTGTGTCACATAGTCGGGCGGTGAGCATGTCCAGCTGATTCTAGGCTCTTACCTCACATATGCCCTCCTTGAAGGACTATTACATGCCAGGAGAAAAATAACAAACAGAAAGAGATAAAAATCCCTGCCCCCCTGGAGCTTACCTTCCACCGGAAGGGGATGCAATCCAGAAATGAGTTGAGTACATGGCACCTGCCGTGGGTTGGTTGGAGCTATGGAGAGACACAGGACAGGGTGATGGGTGAAGGGTGCTGACGGGGATGCTGCCCACCGCCCTCTCCTCTCTTCTCTTCCCACAGGCACTGCAGTAGCTCAGGGCCTGAGGACCTCTGGCCTGGGATGCTTGTACCCATTTCTCAGCAGGTCTAAATGTCCCAAGTCCCCCTTCCCATCCTTCTGGAGCCTCTGGCCACGTCTGATCTCCCAAAGCCCAGCTCTGACTTCCCAAACCTTTCCTGGCTGCCACTGGGATGGCACTGCCACCTTTGGGATCTGGCCTCAGTTTCCTGTCCAGCACCTCTCTCTCCCATTCCTTTCTCCTCTCCCACCACACAAACAGTTCCGTGTATCATCACCCTGCCCTCAGACCACCATCCTTGCGTGCTCCTCCCCCTTCTCTACTGGGCTCCTCCTGATTCCTGCTCTCCTGTCCTTCCCACCCCTGTCACTGACGGATGTGGGAAAGCAGCCCAGCTCCGAGGGGAGCTGCCACAGCCCTGCCATCTCTGCTGGGGACTTCCTGGCCGTGGTGGCCTTCACCTTGGGGATGAGCACCCTTACGGCCAGTGGCTGGCCTCTGAGCCCTAAGATGTGAAGCTAGGACTATGTGCATGTGCTCAAACATTGGCCCCACCTTCTCTGGAACCCATGTGTGAAAGGAAGAAACGAGAGCCCAGAGCTTGGCACCCAGCAATGCCCTAACTCTGTTTCCCTTGTCACAGGTGCATGGTGAAGTATGAGTACAGACAGGTAGAGGCTTGTTTTCCTGGAAACACAGGCTCAATGCTGGGACGAAATGTCAGGCAAGGAGGGGGAGTCCCTGCATCTCCAGGAAGGAGCATAGAGCGGTGGGCAGAGCCAAATTTTATGGCAGCTGTACAGGTGGGTAGAGGGGAGAGTTTACAGATACCAGACAGTGAATGACAAATGTGCACAGACGAGTGTGGGAGCAAGAGACCGGTATAGAGACAGAGAGGCAGAAGGTATGGCTGTGGGTGAGCAGGATGTTGAGCCAGGCCCGGCTCCGGACAGAGACAGTGGGACAGGGCAGAACCAGACAGACAGAATGCCATGGCGGTAGGAACCACTGTCTGCACCACACCAGGGCCAGGGGGAAATGACGTGGGCTGCTGTGATTTCCAGCAACCGAGACTGGTTTCGGGACGGGATGCTCACTCCTGGCTGTACATGAGGATGAGTCCAGGGCTTTCCAGCTTCTACTGCCTACCCAAACCCAGACCAGTTAGATCGGGATCCCTACAGGTGGGCCTGACAGTGGTGATCTAAAATCTCCAGGAGGTTCCTAGACAGCCAAAATTGAGAACCACTGGTGGAGGAGTCCTGAGAAGGAGAAGAGGAGGGCAAAGGTCCCTGCTGTACCCGTGGGAGGTCCCTGGAGGCAGGCTTGCCCTCCCTGAGTGCCTGAGCACTTTCCTTCTGGTAACCTATTCAATTTCATTCTAAAGAGACCATCTTAAAATGGCACTTCCCAGAAGTACCTCATTTTGGCTAACACCATCGCCTCAGCCTATCCTCTCAGTAAAAGCATGGTGTGGAGAGATGCTCTTTCAGCATCTCTTGCCAGGGGGCGTCTTCAAACACAGAGTGAAGTGCGATCCCCTTGACAGCTGGGCTGGGCAGGTATTATCACTCTCACCTGGCAGGGAGGAAACCAAGGCTCAGAGAGGTGAAAGAGCACAGAATCCAAGACAAGGCTGGGGCAAGCCAGAGAGGTTGCGGAGTTCAGTCCCCGGACTCCAAGTGCCGGGTTTTCCTCCCACCCGTGTCTCCAGACCCTGGCACCAGCAGCCCAGGGACACTGGCCTCACAGAGAGTTTGCCCTCTGGCTGCATCTGACAAACCTGTGTGCAGCTGGGTAGTGTGTGGGACCCACGATCTTTAAGGTAACAGGTACAAAACAAGGGGTTCTCTGATGGTTGTGAGATCCACATCTATCTACAGCCCAGCTGGTTCTGGTAAGACCTCTCACTGTGCCTGGGGGTACAGCTCCTCCAAGCTCCATGCACCTTCAGGACTTGCTCAGAGCCCACTCACTGACCCTCAGCTCCATCCTCAGCAGAATGCTAACACCCCAGACCTCTGCCCCAGTGGTCAGGAGAACAGCAACGCAAGGTCACCTGTCCTGACTTCGTCTCCTTCCCCTTCTGGAGACAGAGCCTGCCTTCCAACCCTTCCCAGCGGAGAGGCTGTGAGAGGCTGAGGGAATGGTGTTAGTCAAAATGAGGTACTTCCGGGAAATGCCATTTTAAGATGGTCTCTGTAGAATGAAATTGAATAGGTTTCCAAAAGGAAAGTTCCTGGGCACTCAGGGAGGGCAAGCCTGCCCAGATGTAGGAATGCTGTTCCCCAGGAGCTGATGGCCCTGCCAGAAGAGTCTGTGAAGGGACACCCACATTCCCCAGACTCTCCAAACAAGGAAAGTACACTGAGTGGTTCGGGGCAGCTGCAGTCCCATGGGAGCTAGGACATTTGTGGGCACCATATCCTTGGTGATCCTCCTAACTTACTCTTTGTCATATAAAATGCAACATCGATAACCCAAGTCTGATGATCCCACAGGCAACGTGGACTTTTTGTTTTCCTCTTTTCAACACTTTTGTAGGGACCCATATCCTTCTGCCATATATTTTGTCTCTGGCTAGTGGGAAACAGAAGAAATTCAACACATCCTCACCAAAATATTCTTTATTATCAACCACTTTGCCAGAGAGTTCAGCAGAAATCCAGGACAACACGTGTGTGTGGTGGATCTCTAGGTCTTTTCCTAGTGCATTAGAGACAAGACAATTAGGCAGCTCTCCTGCCCAAGACAAGCCTCAGACAAAGGGGATTCCATCTTGCTTTAAAGACCTTTCAGAAAAGGTTTCAATCACTCTCAGTGATGCCTGATTCATCACTGTGTCATGAGAATTTTCAAAAAAACAAAACAAAACAAATTTAGTCTTCAGTAAAGAGAGATTTTAATCAAAACAATTACAGCAACAAAGAGAATGCTGTGAGCACAAGATCTGCAAGTGTCTCAAAAGTCAGGAGAAAAGAATTTGCCTTTATAGGGGGGAGGACAGAGCCTAGAAAAGTCAGAGGAGAGGGACGGGACGAGCAGGTGGGATCAGACAGGTGAGCCAGAAATGTGTCTCCTTATGGTCAGCTGATTCCGGGAAGAGCTTCAAGGAAGGTTGTTCTACTTTCCCAAGATTCCTAAGCTCTCAGGTCTTGGGCAAATGGAACCTGTGTAAAGGAGGGTAGGTTACCTAGATTAGGTAAAGTCAGTTTACTGGCATTTCCTTCTGATTGATGTATAGGAGAAGCAGTTCCGCTAATCATTGATTAGAAGAAACTGAGATTTTGGAGGGAAAGTGTCTGATTTGTTTTAGGTTACATGTGTTATATTTGTATACATACAGATGTATATGGAGAATATATATAATATATAGCTTGTAGAGTGTAGAGTATGTTCACTACACATTTTGAATAAGTACACTGGAAAATACCAAGGAGATTATAAGAAGAAGAATAAGAAGGAAAAGATGACAGGTGCATTTTGAGAGATTCCCTATAGTGTCTCCCTAAGATCTTGGCATGCAGAAATGCTGGGATAGAATTTGTGTATGTTTCTGGGCAGCATCACTGGGTCACACTGCTTCCTCCTCACCCACTGACAATCCAGTAGCCTTTGGCTCAACCTTATTTCAACAGGCCACAAGAATCCTCATGCCCACCATGACACATAGCCAAGATTGGACTGGGGAAGAAACATCAGCACATTCCTTACCCAATTCTACTTACCACTGGGTCACCCTCGTAATATATGTCAAAGGGAGAACCCCCGAAGGGAGTTTCTTTTTCATATATTATCATTATGATGTTGGCTGAAGATTGAAAATGGAAATTTAAAGCTTCATACATCATCCCATATCTGATATTTCCTGGAAGTCCATCGGTTATTTCCAAAGTCTCTGAATAACAG